CCGTTTCAAGGTTTCGCATCTAATCACAAAGATTGGAAATAATTTTACATATTTCATCCTCACGTAAGCCTCTCGCTCCCCCATATTCCTCTGAGAAAAACTTAGATCCGATAGAGATCATGACCTGATGTGGTGCAATACTGACTCTTGGAGATGTTTCCTGGCCTTGGTCTCCATCAGCTCACTGCTCACCACCTCCAGCTTCTCCCTGCCTCCCCTTGCTCCCTTCCTACCAACCTGCATCCCACCTGCAAAGCTCAGAGCGCTTCTGTGTGTGATGGATGGGATCAAAGTCTCTCGAGACATTAATGCTTTGGAAGATACATGGGAGCTCTGCTCCCATCAACCCTGCCTCAGGCCATAAACAAACACACGTCACAGCAGGAAGGAGATATTTACTTCGGCTCATTAAGGTTTGCACTGAGGTAGAAGAATTAATCTGACAACAAATTACACTGTTGTTAAGGCTCTCCTATTGCTTCTAGGCTTTTTAGCATCAGACACCCAGCTCTACCTGCCCCCCTCAAACCTGGCAGGACTCAGGGGCTGGGAGCAAGTCAGTAGTGGTGACTCCTGGCTCAAAAGGTGGTTTATTTGGCTTGTGATAGCAATTAGAGGTAATTAGAGGTAATAATGTCTTTGTCACCCCTGGACTGGAGGTGTTCCACACTCTTGCTTCTTCTGACCACCCAGAACTGCCTGAGTGTGTTCGGCTACAGGGATTCCGCGTGTGATTTTGCAGGTGTTGGAACAACTGCACAGAGCAGCCATTGCTCCAGCAGCTCTTCCCTGGTGCCTGTTTCCACGGCAGGGTGCAGGAGGCTCTCGGGCCCCCAGCGGAACGAGGCCCCGGGATCTGCTCCGTGGCGGGCGCGGAGCAGCTCTGCGGTGTAGGTGGCAGGCGGATCCCACTGCTCTGCGGGGAGCTCTCAATCCCGTTTCTCCCGAAAGGCGGATCGTGTTAGCGCTTCTGCCTTGTCTGTGTTACTCAAACCAGCCCTCCTGCTTGCTGCACGTGCAGGGAGAGCGATTGCTGAGACGGTTCCTCTCCGGGGGCCGTTAAGAGACGTTTAGCTTCGGTTAAGACTCCTCATAAAACGAGTCAGCATTTGGGCAAGACGAGGCAGTGCTTGGAAGCCCTCCAAGGCGAGGGAAGGAAACACGATGCTAACAGGGGGCTCCAAGGGCTCATCCGAGGAGACGCGTTACGGGAGGAACGCTGAAGGGGAGAGCTGCGTGGAGAGAAAAGGGCTCTCGGACAAGGCCGAGGATACCCAGGGAGTGGATTAGGGAGCACATCCGAGGGGATTAGGGAGCACAGCCGGGGCCGGGGCCTACTAGCAGCTCTGGGCCCCGCTCCCCTGGGTGAGATCCAGAGCCGCCACAGGCCAGCAGGCGCCTGTCCCTAACCTCGCTTTGGCTTCCCACACGGCACCAGCCTCTCTGCTAGGAACGGACCCACCGCAACTGCTCCTGAGGGCCGTGGGCCGCCGGGAAGGCGGCAGCACCTTCTCCCTGCCTTGTTGTGCTCCGGCTCCGGCAGTGTTTGGCCTGCTGGGCTAAAGATTTAGGCTGGCTCAACCTACTGGCGCAGGAAAGGGGATCACGAGCTCTCCGCCACAAGACGTGAGCGGCGTCATTGCCCTGCGGTGGGTTCGGGCCGCCGGGAACTCCCTTTCTCCGTTGTGTTTCTTGGCACCAGGCATCCCTGACATCTTGATTTGCAGACAGTCAAATAAAATAGAAAAATAGTGTCCCCTGTTAATAGGTTGACACACTGCTTGAGGCCAAGTGCGAGTATTTCTATAGCATTTGCTCTGCTGCCTTATGTCAGTAACTGTTGCTATTGAAAGTAAACACCCCAACTGGTTAAATCAACAGCGTTGTGTTTATTCAGAGCTCATAAACTCCGGTAGCTCTAGGTCACTTTATGAACTGCCAACCCCTGGGGGAAGAGAAGGAATAGTGTGAAATTATTGCATGCAGTCCACCCATCGTGAGTCTTAGAAGAAGGGGATTTATTGGCAATTAATATTTCTTGCAGAGGAAAATAAAGGAATCATATTGAGGCAGCTCCACACCAAAGCTTGGGCCTCCTTACTGGTGGAAATGGAGAATGGGTGATCCTTCTTGCCAACCTTGACAAAACTATTACCTTGGAAAGTGAAAAGCTTTTTTTGTTGTTGTTTTGGAGAGGGGGTTGCAAATTAGCTAGCGGGAGGTGGAATGTGCAGGCAAAGCTGGTCAGAGGAAACCTCATGCCCAGGAGGCACTAGCATCCTCCTTTTCTCCCTTCACTGTGGTACCTCCAGGAAAGCAAACTGAAACCCCTCCGGTTGCTCTTTTTATTCTTCGTAGCTTATATTTTTAGCCGCATAGCTGTAGGTGCAGTTCCAACTGAGCACCGGAGCCGAGCGCTGGGGGACACATCCCTGACTCTTTGGCCAACGTGTCTGGTAAGGGGAGGCCCAAAGCGCTCAGGCTTTGGAGGCTGCAGCCTCTGCTGAGCAGTAGCTGTGCAGAAAGCACATTGCATGTTTGAAACGTGCTGCCTGCGAGTGCTGCCGCGCACTTAAAACAGAGCTGAGTTTTGCAAACCTTGTGGCAGGACCTGGTCCCGGTGAGGGCGAAAGCACCGGTGGAAGGGCCTGCTCTGCTGGCTACCTGAGCTCACTAGCCATGGCCAGGGCAGCACCGAGGGTAGTCACAGCTCTGCTTGGCCAGAGCAGCCTCCGGGGGGGGTCCCGAGGGATTTTGGCGTTTCCCAAGCGCGGGGCGCGTGCTCGCTGCCGGCTCCGCGGCTCCCTGGTAGGTCGTGCCGTACACAAACACTGCGCGCTATGGAAGTTGGACAGAGACTTGGTCTTCAGCAGCGATTTCCAGCTTGCCCAGATCCAACTGTAATTAGGATGAGTCAGACGGTTATTTCCAGGCTTAAATTTGGCCTTCTGCATCCTGAAAAAGCCTCGAGAACCATTGATCCGTAGGAGGTCAGGTATAAAGCTCCATCCCAGCACGCTGAAGTCTGCGGGGCAGGGAGGTGAATCTGGAATTCTGACAAGTAGAATCACTGTGGAAGCGAAATCTGTGGATTGAGTAGGAATAAATACTGTCCAGGGCAAAGTTTAAATACGTTTTCTCCTGACTATTGCAGATATGTTTTTAATGATTGCTGTTTACTCTTCAGCCTGTGAGCTTACAAATCTGTCTTTGTGGCAAATCCAATTATGAACTCATCAAAAATTTAAGTATTTAGGGAGAGGGCTTCATCATACAGTCATGTGAAATAAATTAGCAGCTTCTGTGACAATAATCTGAATATATATTCTTAATTGGCAGTATCTTAGCCCAGCTGTTTTAATATAGTTGATGGGAACAATGAGTCCTGAGGTTGTTTCAATAATTTTTAAAAAATCCCTCTCAAATGGCATAAGAGAGTGATAAATGTTGAATTATTTATGTTTTTAACAAGAATAAAAGCTCTGGGTCATGACTGGCAGGAGGGGCTCAGCCGAGCTTGTCTTTGCTGGAAAAATACAAAAAACATAAATGCTTGTGGTTTTCCCACCAAATACTCCAGCCCTGGTATTTTTTCCTATGAGGGTCAGAACTTGTACAGAGCTCCCTGGGGCCAAGAACCGCCCTATTTTTTTTTAACCGCTCTATTTTAGGCTCCCCGAAGGGTGCACAGCAGCAGAAGGGTGCCTGGACATCCTTGCAGAAAGCACAGCTTTGCTCCTGTGTGTGTGGAGGCCCAGGACCGAACATATAGGATAACATTTCCTTATTTTTGGCTCAGCAGTGAACGGTGTTCAGTGAAGGGAAGACACAAGTGCTGAAGGTCTCTTGGGAACAAGCTCTTTGTCAGAGAAGGTTAAAATCCAGCCAAGACAGCTGTTAAATAGATGAGCGGCATCCTCTGGAGGCCTTTGCAGTTGGGGTGGATGAATCCGGAGGAGTTTGAGTACAGGTCATGAACTCGCAGCTCACCAGACCCAACTCGCTGCCCACCTGGTCTGGTCACAGGGAAGTTCATGATATTTTCCAGCTGTCTGCGTGCTAGGGAAGAATTCCTGCATCTTTGTGTTCTTCGGTTCCTGCCGCTTGCTAGCAAACTGTTGAAGTAGGATTGCAACAAGGAGGACCACGACTCTCTGAGCTTTTCTGAACGTGCAAATAGCCTTTTCAGTGGGATGAAAAGGAAGTAGGTGGAGAGATGGTCTTAACCTTTTATTTTCTAGCTGCAGAAAAGTCACACTCCCAGTCTGTGGCCAAGAACAGCAGAGGCCTTGGAAATCCTTCCCTGCAGACCTGCACACGTAAGGCCTACACCACCCGGGCCGTAACCAGAAATGTATCCATCTTCCTTCCCGTTCTCTATGCATTTTTGTCTTTTGTGACCAAACTTAATCTGTAACATAGGATCCATTTTTTTGGTATTTAAGATGAGACAAAAAACCCTTGCAAAAAGCCCAAGCAGCAGCACGCGCACATGGAGAACACGGCGTTGTTGGCACGTGGACCGTTCCAAGACCAACATAGAACACAAGTTCTGTAGGAAGTGGTGGGGTTTTGTAGAAAGGTTTTATTTTTATTTTTTTTTCTGAAGGAATTCAGTGTTATGCAGTGGAATCCTCTCTGCAGGTGGAATTTTTGGGCTCCAGGGCTGTAGTGTGCCTGCACTTGAAAATTTGGCCATTTGTTTGGAAACAGAGATGGGCAAGTTCCAGTTCATTCATCCAAGCTGTCCTTTCTCAAGGACAAGGAGTAAGGCCAGCACAGCTGAAACACTGCAGCCAGCTCCCGAATGTTTCCAAATAAAATGCCTTGAGTAAGTTTATTTTTCCCTCTCAAACCTAAATTTAGCACCCTGGAGAAGCTGCTTTGGCAGTCAGCGGATGGTAACGATGACAAGATCGATCTGTGGATAGTTCTGGGAAGATTTGGAAAGTCCCGGTAAAACATAGTTGATTTCATTCATGTCTGCATTTTGTCCACAGCCCAAAGGTCTGCTCATGAACTTCCAATGGTCGAAAGACAAGATATTGATAGCTGCCTTGTTTATGGAGGACAACAGATGATCCTGACAGGACAGAATTTCACAGCAGAATCCAAGGTGGTGTTCACAGAGAAAACTTCAGGTAAGAGAGTTTTCTCCAACTTTTCCTAATGTGATTAGGCAAAGGTGTATCCTGCTTGGTCTCGTGGTCTCATCCTATGAATGAGTAGGTTTGAGGTGCTCACAAGTAACACTACTCAAGCGAGTAGCCCCTTTCAAGTTCATCAAAGCCAAAATGAATCTCTGGAGGTAATCGTGTAAGAAGCATTAGTCATGGAGCAAACATCTGCATTGTTGGCCTTTAATTTTTCAGGCAGTGTGGAAGAGTAAATCAAAGCCGTGTCGTGGGGAAGGCTTGTAAGAATGCAGGCACTGAGAACTAGCAGAAACAGGAAATGTTATCAAAGAAATAGGAAGACTCTTACAAGTTTCCCTGGGCTACTTTTAATCTCCTGGTTAGCAAAGACTATTGTAGAAATCTCAATTGGAATGAATATTTTTCATTGCAAATGAACTACAAACAAAGATGGATATTTACAACCTTAAAAGTGTGTGGGGTAGAAATATTTTTGTGTCAAAATAATCTTCCGTCTAAGTATGAAGATAATTTTATATCATTTCATCTTCCGTATTGCTTCAGATATTTTTACATTGATAGTTTCCACATTGCTGCTTAAGAAGAATAGTTTTAAACATAAACATGACCAAATATTTCCCCCTAGTTTGAAGGGAAACAGTGCCTCCATTGGCAAATGAAATTCAGGGATGTGAAAGGTACTGAGGTTAAATGGAAAATAATCCAAGATGTCACAGAAAATATATAAAACCCTATTTATTGATTGGAAGCCTACTTCTTTAAGGCTTCTTTCTCTCCCATTTTGATTATCTCTTGGCAGCTGCTGGGCTCTTTGAAGTATTTGTCTCTGACTTTATTGCATATCCCTGGAACGTATCATCAAAATTTGCATGTTACATTTGCATGCCCGAGTCTCACCTTTGTGCTCACTGCGTCTGCATTGCTTTCGTGCCTGCAGATTTGCATCTCCCATTGCAGCACTGCCCTCCGGGTGGGCAGTTCCCGGCTTTCATGATGGAATCATAACACAACGGATCCCAAGGGAGTTCTCCAGGGAGCAATCCACAAAAGGAAGGATCAGACTGTAGCAAAAAAAACAAACTTAATTCAGAGTCCCCTGTCACAGCACAATATTATATTTTTTTTCAGTAGAGCTGCTTGTTTAAGAAATGTTTTGACAGAGTTTTCAGATAATCTTTTTAGGTCTTAAACAACCGCAGAGGGGGAACGAGTGGCAGATTGGAGATTATCTGTTTTCTCTTTCCATCTTGTCTACTTAGTTGCGCAACTTAGACCTAGCTCAGGATGGTCCCAAGCCTGGACTCGTGTTGCAGGAATATTAATAACAGAATAATGAACGGGCACTGGGCTTTGTTGAGTTGCCTAGCATCACCTTTAATGCCTTTGCTGAACATTTTATTGGGCATTCATAATGGTGTGCCATAATAAACATCACCTGCTTTCTAGCTAAAGAATATCTGCCCTCAGAAAATATGTTCAGCATGGTCGAATGGTTAAAGTGGGTAGCAGAAATCCAGGTTTTCTGTTTACAGGAGAAAATGCAAACAAATGCACTCTGCTCTAATTAGTTACCTGTTCTCTCAGCACTGATACTCATTTCTTTTCTAATATCATATGTATGCAGGCATTTCATCTCACCTCACTAAGCAGTATGTGTATTTTATTGGATTTTCTACGCCCTTTTCAAAGGGGGATTTGTTTCTTTATAAACGGGCTGACCCTGTTTAACTTTCCCTTCATTAGACTTGAGTTTTTTATACTCCACATAAGGCGCTCCAGAAGGGTAACGGTGATGTCCAGGGATCCAGAAAGCGCTTTGCAAACACGAAGGGCCGGTTCTGGCACCCTGCCCTCCCGCTCGTGGCAGCGAGGCAGGGGCCGTGCAGCACCAAGAGCAGCAGCCCCGTCCCCTGCGGCCGCGCGGTCCCATCGGTGACTAGCAGAGGAGAGGGCGGCTGGAGGCCCCCGTCGAGCTGCTCGTCTCGATCCGGTGGCGTTTGTGGTTTGCAGCGAGCTCGCTGCACGCCGCGCGCCGCGGTGCAGAGCAGCGCTCCCCTGGCAGGCGCTGTGTTTAGGGGGAAAACTGCATTCCTGGAGTGCCGTAGGTGAGGGAGCTGCAGGAGCTGCAGGAGCTGCAGATCCCTAGGGGCTGCCCCAGCCCTGGCTGACTGCAGCGCATTGGAAATTAAATCTGTGTTTGGGTGATTAGAGGTTAATGAGCGTCCCAACCTGCTTGAAAATTTTCTGATTTTCTCGTTTGCACTTGTGACCTTCAGCTTCCTTTTTATTTTTTAATAAACAGTAGAACATGGAAATGGTTGTTTCCGTGACCATGCCAGTTGCCCATGGGTGCCCGCCTGCCATTAGCAACCCAGAGAAAAGTAGAACTATCTCATATATGTTATCAAAATCCAAAATAATTCTAAGCACAGTAACAAATAGTTTTTTACACCTCTGCTCTGCTGTTCTCCAGATAGCATGCTGTTCCCTAGAAATACCTGGAAAATGAACAAATATTCCCCAAATGAGGCTGTGATGGCAATGTGAAAATAACTGGCTTGCTGTAGTGCATTGAGTGCAGATTCCCCCAGTTGATCCCCAACCCAAAGCTCCATCTCACACCATCACATTCAGCTTGCAGCAGTAAATGGCAGCAGGAAAGGGGCTGCAGCAAAGCGCCCAGGTGAGAGCCATGGGAGAAAGTGCCTGAGATGCTGATGCACAAGTGTCAATCACTTTCTTACTAAGCTTTAGCAACGTGCAAGCGTTCGAGCTGCAGGTTCCTTTGAACGATACCTCTTGCTGGTGAAAGATCGTAATCTTCAGCGCTTGTGAGCTCGTGAATTTGGTCGAGTCAGCCCAGCATACGGAAGCAGAGTTTGGCTCAAAGAGTTTTAAGATCCAAATGTTGCTTTAGCTCAAAGAAACAGAGCTGAGCTCATCTGAATAAATATAGCTAAGGGGAAGCAACTGCATCTGATTGCATGGCTAGAAATTTTTGAAGTGTGTGTATTCTTTAAATTCTGATGTGGGAAAGAGGGCTCGAAAAAGGCTTCTTATGGCTAGTAAAGATTTTGAATGTCCTGAAGGTCAAGGGTGTTGTGTTTGCTTGGGGCCCTGAGGTTGCAGTGCAGTTAAAAAAAGAGAAAAGGTTCGGAATTCCCCTTTTTATTTGTTTTAATTACCATGTAAAAATTTGCAAGTCCGATGCTGTTGGTTGCATTGTGTTTACTCCCATTTGTGTCCTGGTTACTGCTGCTCTGCTGCGAGCGATAGGGAAGTTTCGTGTTTCTCTGGGAGAAAAGTGCAAATGGACTGTGCTTTCCTCTGCCAAGCTCTTCTGGTGGCCACATGGACATCGTGAATCATCGCTAGGACAATGTGGGTGGTGGAGGAACAACCCAAACAGAACGCGTCCCTCTTTGGAGGGGATCCACCGCGAAGCGCCGGGGCGGGAGGCAGCGCGGGGAGAGGAGGTGGCGCCCGGCGCCCTTTGAACCGCTGCAGCTGTCCGGGGCTCCGGAGCACGGGCTCTGCAAGCCCATTTAGAACAAATCAATCTTTCCAGCCTCTGGATTCAAGGGGTGAGATTCTAGAGCCTTCTTCTCTGCCTGTCTTCACCCCAGTGACTCTCGTGATGGTGAGTTCGAAGGTGCCACTGCTTGGAGCAGGTGGAGGTTGGCACCATGGAAGGGTTACCAGAAGTCACTGCAGGGCCAGGGCTCATCATTCCCCCCAGAATCAAATCATCCCAGTTCTTTGAAATCCTAGGACTCCTTTCAGTCTTCTAGGACTCCTTCCAGTCCTAAAAGCAAGTGAGCAGGCAGGCGCTGCGGTGATTTCACCCTCAGACTTGCACTTTTCACTGTTTCTGCTATATCTCCTGCAAACAGATGAGCACAGCAGCGCTTTCTGGTTTTGGAGTTTTCACTCTCTGGAAAAGCGCTTGTTTATAAAGCACAAAACGTTGAACTTAATGATGCTCTCAGTCTTCATGCACTGCGCTCTGCAAAACTTTAAAAGAAGTTGCAGCTCACTAGAAAGCCTTTACATTCACAGGTTAGTTGGGGAGAGTAAAAATATGTTTGAAAACATATTTAATTATAGTTAAAATGCTCAGTAGATAAAAAGATGAAAAAATGAAGAATTTATAGCTTCTCACACAGCTACTCTCTGGCCTGCAGCAGTAGCTCAGTGCTTCTGGGTGCTTGGGCACAGGATTTGCCTGTGAAAAGCAGCCAGAGAGCCTGGTGAAATGGGGTGAAGTGTTTATGTGTTATGGGCTGTGGGAGCCCTCAGCAATGGATTCAGGAGCAAAGACCTTCTGGTTCTGCACGGGCAGGGAGCAATGGGGCAGCCTTGGCCAGGAGTTGGTGGGAGCCTAATTTTACCTGACAGGGTACCCCTTTAATCTGAAATTACTCCTTGTGTTTGGAGCATGTGAAGTTCTAACTAGTTTATATGAAATAATTGTGCTGTCTTGCAGTTTTCTTGGTAGTTCAGATGAGCACACAATCCCTAGCATCTTCTCTGCTCATTTTGTAGCAGGAGTCCAGCATTTAAAGCTGGATATTTCTAGGTGGATGCACATCATCTCTGCTCTAAACCTGCAAAGTGATGAGATGATGCTAGGAGTAAATGTTAACTGTCCATGTTGGGAGGCCCATATGATTTTTACATTAGCTAAAGGTCTTGCAGGTTACTCTGCTCTCCTTATGCCTTGCAGCGCTCCCAAGCAGAGGGGGCTGCAAAGTGGAGTCCAAACTTGGTTGTTTTCCTGCCAAAAAGATGTCAAACTTCAGCATCAAGGCACAGAACTGGGCAGGAGCAGGGAGGTTTCGCTCTGCTCAGTTTTCTCTTTGCCCTTTTAAGCAAAAGGGGAAGGTATCTCGGTAAATCCCATCATTTGGGAACTCTGAAGAGCAGCAAGTGCTGTGCAGGGTGACTGGGAAACCTCCTGCCTTTCCTCTCTTCTGTCACTGCTG